TTATAGTGCACGGTGGGCACTTTTTTGGCAAGACAGATATTGCTATTATATGATCGCAGCTTTCATCTAGACACACGCTTTCATCGTACATGCTCTGTTTGTTTGCAGCTGCTAAAACTGTTCATCTAACGATGAAAGCATGCCTATTTACCATTAAAAGTGTATGAAGAGCAGTTTAAATCTGCCATTGTGTGACCCTCCCTCCTCTTAGAAACACTGATCTAACAGTTTTTTTGTTTTGTTCTTTTAATATTTCTATCTTTCAATACATCAGCCGCGCTACAAAGACTGGCAGTAAGTGACAGCTAGGATTTTCATGCTTTGGAGCGAGTGTTTAAACTGACAGTGTTTGTAAACATTAATGCAAAACTGTCAAGAAAAAAAGGGGTGGGGGGGCTAGAGTCGAACTCTTTCAGTATTTACAGAGATATACTGTACATATTGGCGTGACTTGTGCTTGAATAACAGATCTGGAGCTTTGATGTCTCTTAAAACTGGAAGTGCTCAGTTTTTAAATGTTGGGGTGGGGGGGGAGAAATTAATCGAAAACATTTTTTTTCTTACAACCCTAAGTAGTCAGATATACGTGTTTTTAAAAGTACTAAATGGACTCGTCATCACTGTGCCTGCGTGTACAGAACTTACCCTCTCATAATGCATCGATCAGTCTGAAAACTCCCGTCTTCCAGGTTCTGCGTTAATGGCATAAATGGAAAACGTTTTTATTTACAGGAGTGTCACAGCGCAGATCAAGAGAATTGTTTTTTTTATAAACCTCTTCTCCCCTTTGGTTTTCTTTCTCTCCCTCTCTTTCTTTCATTCTTTCTCCCTGTCCTATCCCCCAGTCATGTCTGTCCCGTTTGTAGCAACTGAAAATAAAATAAATTCATAATTATAATAAAGGTCAATCAAATGGACCAATATGGCAAGGCCATGATGATCCACTTGGTAAAATAAATCCGCTTGGCATCTTTCTTGGCCTTAAGACAACAATTCTGATGGCTAAAGATCCAAACGGGACACAAAAAAAAGGAAGAAAAAAAAAACCTCGTTCCCTTGAGGTGCTGCTTGCCTCGGTAAAAGCTTCACAAATGAGGCATAAACTGCAGGTAACAACGGAGACAGGAAATGTCTTGTTAAAGGTTTTCCCGTGCACGTCTTCAGCTGTTCTCAGAAACACTGGATGCTGTTGTTTTGGCTCTTTCTGACTTCTTCTGGCTCCTTGAAAGCTCTGAAGGTGTGAGGTATGAAGTCTGAAGAGGCCACACCTTTTAAAAAAAAATGTGTGGGTCACTAGATTTTGCAAACCAGCAGCGTGTCAGAGCAAGTTTGCTTTTAGGGTCTATATATAGAACAAAGGTGTTTGTGCAGAACAGAAATGATTCGCCCTGGAGTAAAGGCTAACTGTATGACCCCCACAGCATAAGACAGCCACTGGATCGCCTCATTGTAGGATTCACCGCATCTTAATATACACTCAAAAGCTGCTTCATTAGGTCATTAGGGTTAGGTTGTACCCTCTTTTTCCTTCAGAACCATAAATTCAACATACTAACATAACAGCATCACACAGTTGCTGCAGCTCTGTCAGCTGCACGGCCATGATGCCAATCATGATGCATGGAACGCCATCCTGCTGCAGGCATCGGAAGATCGGTACACTGTGGTCGTAACAGGATGGATATGGTCAGCAACTATACTCAGACAAGCTGTATATGGTGCTCAATTGGTACTATGGGGCCCAAAGTCTATCAAGAGAATATTCCTCACACTATTACACCACCACCATCTGCCTGAACTACTGATACAAGGCAAACTAGGCCTTCAAATCAAATAGGCATTTTCACCCAAAGAAGTGGCGCTAACAGGATATTAACCATCTCCATAAACCTTAGAGATGGTTATGTTGGAAAATCCCTGCAAATCAGCAGATTCTGAAGTACTCAGACCAGCATGTTTGGCACCAACAGCCTACATTCAAAAGGCACTGACATCACCTTTCTTTCCTATTCTTGGTTTGAACTTGAGCAGGTTGTCTGGACTATGTCTGCATGTCTAAACGCACTGAGTTGCAACCGTGTGATTATCTAATTAGATATTTGAGTTAACAAGCAGTTGAAGAGGTGTACGACATGGCCTCGCAGTATGTGACCTCACTGTGGGAGTCAAGCATTCAGGTTTTTCGTGTAATCGCTGTCTAAATACTGCATATATGTCTGGAAGAAAAGCAGACTCTGTAATGACTCTAGCGATGCCCAAAGAGCCAGCTGACACTGAAAGTAACTGATGGCCTTAGTTTATCTCTGGCAAGTCAGCTTGAAGGATCGGTACACACTAATCGTAAAGTACGATGGATCTGGAAACTTTGTCATCAAGAAAGCAGTCCCCGGTCACCACAGCTTGAAAAATACTTGCACAATTCATCTCTGAGTCTGACAAATAGTTGGCAGTTGCACTGGGATATTTCAAAACTGGATCCATTCCTCCATGTTCCAGACCTGGGGAAGAAAATCCCTTTTTTTCTTGGCAGCAGTGACTTTTAAACAGTCCTCCCAGCTCAGCTAATGTTGAACCACCTGCACTTTAAGTGAATGAGCTCATATTCCGCTGCCACTTCACAGCAGGTTTTAAAGGCATGTGAATTAAAATCTGAGGCTTATTTTTCTAAACCATGAACTACACCAGTGTGTTCGCTCCATTCAGCACTTATTTATACAGTGATAACAAACACAGGGGTGTGAACTTGTGGAAACAAAAGAGCTCTAATCATAGAAACAATGAACAAAATTAGTCAGCTGTAATTTGGTTGCACTTAATCCTCTGACTGTTATTCTCCGTGCAACTCTTTCTCCTCTGTGTTTATAACGTTAGATTTAACTAACAAATTTGCACAGAGTCTCAGAAAGCCTGGGATTCTACTTCCTGTTATCATATTGTTGCCATCTTTGGAAATTTGCCCATTAAATGTGGCTTATTTTGTAAAATTAAAAACTTCCCTCGGATGGTTTCGTCATGTTTCACTGACCCTTTAATTACAGTTTTTAGATTTCAGCTTTAATCCAAAAGCCAAAACAGACTGTAATTTGCATATAATTAAGTTCCTGTGTATATATATTATCATAACATAAAATGATAAAATACACCACACTTGTTCTTGTTTAATGGCTGCTGCACAGGCCTTTAAAAAAATAAGACCAAGAAGACAACAACATGATTTAACAAAGTTAGACATGACATTTTCTTGCTGCATAACAGCTTCACAGCCATGATCAAAGCCAAAAAGATGTCACTTGTTGCTGCTGATCTTTATCTGAAATCCTAGAGCCAAACTGACCCCTTCGGGGGTAACTTGAGATTCTCATAAGAGCTAATCAGGGCATCGGAGGCAAAAGGGCAAAACATAAAAACCTCTTTTACTTCAGTGCTGCTAAATAAGCACATCTGTTTCTGTGCTTCTTAGTCCTCCTCCCCATTCTCTCAGTTTGACTTCCATCCATCCATACTTTAAAACTACTGTAGGTAACATAAACACACCGAGTCTCTTCTCAGACCACCATAGCGAGAGCAGCGCTGAGTAAATGTGTGTTTTTCTGCATGTGCGTCTGTCTCTGTGTGTACTGCTGGGACATCTGCTGGGACATCTTTGGAGAAAAGCACAGTGTGTGTATTGATAGGATCTCTTTCTTTTTTCTTTTTTTCTTTTCTTGGACCGAGAAGCGTTTTGCTCTCCAGTCAAAATCTCATTTTGTCACCATTAAAATGAAAAATGTCAGAGGCAGATTGAACCACGCAGAACATGAGCTAGACCTTTTAGTTTAGCCAGGGGTGTTCCAGCTGAGCTCGATGTCAGAGAGAGTTGGTCTGAGTGCTGCAGATCATAGAAAAGTCTATTTCAACTGTGTTTTAAAAATGTTAACAATTTTAGGCAGGACGAATGTTTCCTTTTCTTTGTGTCTGAAAGTTTTGCAGTTTTATGGATTTCGACTGCTTAAAGCCTCTGAAAGCGTTTTACTGTGAGCAAAGGAGTCTAAGCGCACGATTTTCTTCCATCGTTGTCACGTTTTTCACTGCTCCTCTCATTAGTCTAAAGATACTGGGGAGGTGATGACATACTGCACATTTGAGGAAATTTAAAGGAAACCTATAATACTCATTTCCAGATCCATATTCTTGTTGTTGGACTCTACTAAAGCAGCTTTGCATGCCTCACAAAACCCTTATTCGTCTTGCTGGGCTTGGTGCAGCCGCTCAGAAGAGCTTGTGAATGAGGCATGTTGTATAAAGTGCTCTAAGTGCTCAAGTAGATTAGAAAAGTGCAACATGGGAACCAATACATTTACCATTTCAGAATATCTGACATGCAAAAAAGGAAAATATAAAAGATTGAAATTGTTCTTCCTATTTAAGAAAGACCATACTGAAAATCATACTGTACGTGAATCGTGCTTACAAAATAATAAGACGGATGAATGGATGCATGAGTGGATGGATGAGGTCAAGTTCCTCTAGGACACATGCACATGCATTAGCTGCACAATACCTCCGCTCCTTAAACGAGGAAGAAAATAAATTAGTCTTTCCCGCTTTTCCTGCCCTTGCAGGGGGAAAAAAAAGAAACTCTGGCTAATACAGGAGACAAAATTTATTAGCTTTTTCAATAAAACCAGTTAAGCATGATTTATCTTTTGTCACTGAATGCATGGATGATGTGATAGTTAGTCACTTTATAAATGCAGACAGGCGTCTGAGGTTTCCATGGACATGTTTATATTTATAGTACATGTCCTTTGGGAAGCAGCCAGGCCACTATGAGCACTGATTACTGATTTAAAAGAACCGATAAGTTGTTTTCAAACACCAGATTTTAACTTCAACAGCTTATCAGGACCAACCAGCTACATCCAGACTGGTCTGAGCACAGAGGTAAGACACAGCTAACAAGCTTAGAATGACTGTGACTGTCTGCTTTAACGTTCTACTTAAACTCATTAATCTCTTTATTGATTAATCAGTGGATTAATTGATTGTTTGTCTGCAGTTCAAAATCAAAAACCTATTGTTAGACCAAGAGGCGTCAATTATGAACTTTAATGTTCCTGGGAGGATCAAAGGTAGGAAGATCTTAACCACTTCAATATTGTAAAGTGGCTCCACATGTTGAGGAACTCAAGATTTTTGCTTTAGGATACAAGTGATGGAAAAGCAGTAAATAGTCTGGCATTTTTAATGGAAAAAAATATTATTAATAATTAATTTTACAGTAAAATAGCTCAGTATTGATATTTTCTGACCATTCATTAGATTAAATACGAATATGAGTGAGAAATGACACGAAAGGTTCCACTGTGGGATTCATTTTTATGGATTTCACACCAATCTAAAGGAATGGATGCAGTTCCCATTGTTCCTTTGCTGTCCCAGATCTTTTTACTGAAATAAACCTATTTCGATGTGCAACATCATGGGCAGGAAGGAGACATGGAAAAGAAGTAACTCTTCAACCCCCCCAAAAACAAACAAACAAACAAACAAAACCTCTGCGCTGTTTAATCCGTCTCTACCTTTAATGGGTCAGTTCATGTCAGGGCAATGAAAGGTTTAAACGGGAAGCTTTCGTTTTCAGTTTTTATACCCGGTTTGCAGCAGGGAGGATATCTCTGGCGCCCCTACCGACTCCTTAGAGCGTATGCGGCTCCACACAGAGTGAAATCACGATGATCACACGTCCTCTCTCACAGCTCCCACAGACACATAACTGAACGTTTACAAGTCATTTCCTTCGGGGACTATCCAGCCCCTGTTTCTCGGTTTCAGTAAGGAACCGCTCGGTACAGCTTGACTCGCTGACGGCTCCGGCCCTCTTCCAGGCCGGTGTTTTGATTGGATTAGAGTCGGCTAGCCTTTGCCCTCTAACCTCGCTGATGTTTGCTTGCTGCTTCCTGCTCGCTCCGCTCCGTCTGATCGACTGACGAAGCCTGCCGAAGCCGCTCGGCGAAGCGCCCTGCACGGACACAGCAGACCGGGACAAGCCGCCGCTCACAGCCGAAAGGAGAGCCGAGCAGGGGGAGCCGCGAAGCGCACACACGGGCGGGGGGACGCAAAAACCAGGCAGCCATGCGGAGGAAATCAAGGATATTGTTGTGCTTTGCTGTGCTGTGGGTGCTGGGGATAGCCTACTACTTCTACTCGGGGACAGCGTTGAGTCGAAAGGTAGGATTTCCTTTCCTCGACTGCTTTTTTGTGTCCGTGTGGAGGTTTTCTTCCAGGACAAAGCGAAGATGGAGCGCTGTGGTTCGGCGCTGTTGAGCCTCTTTTCTTCCTTTCTGGGGGCTCGGGGGGGTTGCGGCTGCACGATGCGGAGAGGAATTAGTTTTTTTAAAGAAAAAAAAAAGGGGGGGAAAGGCCTGCTTGTATCAGTGGCGAGGCATTGATTTGGTTGGAGATGAGTGTGGACAAGAGTAGCGGGGCTGGATGGCTCGCTCACTCCCTGGCTGGTCGGCGTACACAGACCTCCCGCTGTGCCGGGGCTCGGAGCGCGTCTGCACCAGGCAGCCCAGCTCACCACTTCACGGTGCCGGCTGATGTGACAGCGGAATCAAGCATACAGGGGGGTTGTAATTAATATAAGGCTGCTGGCCTGTCTCGCAGGGCCGGGGGAGGTGGAGGTACCGGTGGTGGTGGGGGTTAGCCTATAGAGCACGTCAGCACAAGCTGCTGCTGCTCCGATAACTAGGTAGAGATCAGGAAGTGTGCAGATTAACGCCGGGTTAAAGCTCTACGTGCACTGTGCTGTCAGGAGGAGATTTTCTTTTAAAGCGGCGTCTTTAAAACACATTTCTTCTTCTGATTTTAGACTTTGTGCTGCACAGATCCCCCCTTGTTAAAACATTTTTACACTGAATTAAGCCCTGCGGTGAATCTCCAGAGATTTATCTTTATGTGGCTCATATTCTGTCCACCTCTTGCCTATCAGAGAGGGTTAAATATTAGAGGTTGGAGATGAAAGGAGATATTAAATATTCTGACTTTTCTAGTTTAAAAATCTTAAAAGTTCCTCAAAATTCTCTTTTTCACGTCCTTGTCCCGGAATGCTGTCCGGATAAAGTCACTAGATGCTGTGACAGTCCAAACTTCAGCAGGTTCATCAATAATGAAAAATAATATTTAGTGGGAAACAAATATGGGAATTTGCTGCTTTCTCCTTTTCCTAACATATTATAAAAGGTTTGAGTTCTTGACTTGGGCAACAGCATAAAGACATCACCTCTCCAACTGGCCAGCTCAGGTCTGGTGTTATGGATCAGACGATTACTTGAGAAATGACCTGCCAGATTAATCAATAAAGAAGATAATTGATATTGGTATTAATAGAAGCACCTCTCAGTATAAGGCAGTGCAAATGAACCCAAACTGCCTCCTCCAAAGTGACCACACAGTTGAACTGGCACACTTCTACACACACTTTGATAAAAACCTGAACATTATAACCTCCATTACAGCAGCTATTAGACTAGATTTTCTATAATAACCTGAAGACATGTAGCTGTCTGTTCAGCCGGACAATAAAGGTGAAACATCACAGCTGGTGGGGTGACTCTGTGCATGTTTAGGAGCCATGGATTTCAGTATCTGGCCCGTATATGCAAGCAGTACATAATCCAGGTTAAATAACCTCCAGGTGTTCATGAAGAGTAAGGCACGGCAAAGCTAAACTTACACATATCTTCTGAGATAGATGTGAGACACTGGGTTTTGCCTTGGGAGAGCACCTAGCGTGTATGTGTGTGTACCTGTGTGCTAATGTAAGTCAGTGAATTCTGGTGTGTGAGTGAGTGAGGTGTGGTCTGCATGGGTGGTTGTGTGCACAGTACACTGCCTTTATTACCTCTCCAGGCTGTGTGTGTGAGTATATGTGTGTATCCCACCTTTCTCTTGTCTTGTCCTATCTGTCTCTCTGTGTTTGCTTTGCATCAGTCAACCCTAGCAGCACTTTTACCTTTCCATTAGGCTGATAGCTTTCCTCACTCTGTGTGTGTGTGTGTGTGTGTGTGTGTGTGTGTGTGTGTGTGTGTGTGTGTGTGTGTGTGTGTGTGTGTGTGTGTGTGTGTGTGTGTGTGTGTGTGTGTGTGTGTGTGTGGTTCCTAGAGGGGTCAAAGAGACACTCCACAATAAGCAACTTTCACTGGCGTTGGGTTGCAGGTGGCATTAATATGGATGATGGCCTCCACCAGGTTGGTGTCTTTACACAGAGGGACATTTAATCTGGTTAAACAAAAGCGGTGCTGCACAGGTGAAGTGTTGTTTTTTCCATCGCATCTCCCCCCGTCTCAGTCTGAGAAAGCGGAAGCATTTAATGATCTCTCTCCCCCGCTTTGCTGTCATGGAATAAACTCCGTAATAAATGGACTCGACGCTTCATCAAGACTCTCAAAAGATTGACTAAATTTCATGGATGTGCTTTTTGTAACCAACTGAATAACACATTCATAGATTTTACAGTTACCGGCCGGGGTGCAATAATTCCCCAAATCCACAGTTAGGTTTATTAGTGATTTTTGGGCACTGGTTTCAGTCCATTAATGGAGGAAAAGATGGAAAAATCAATTTTCCGCAGATGTAATCAATTATTTCAACTCGGGGCTCTCCTGATGTCAGCATTTGGCTTCACAAAAATGATAATGTAGCCACATGTGTAGAGAATTCATCCTAGTTAAACCTTAATATTGTTCATTAACTCTCTTTTTTTTTAAGATCAGGCTTAAAACTTTCCTTTTCGATAAAGCGTATAGTTAAGGTTAGATCAGGTGACTCTAAATCTTCCCTTAGTTACGCTGCAATAGGCCTAGGCTGCTGGAGCCTTCCCACAATGCAGTGTTTCTTCTTCACTCTGTATGTTCATACACCACTTTGCATTTCCACAGTGTGTCTTTTGTCCTGTTGTCCTCCCCTCACCGGCAATTGGTCTCGGCAGATGGCCGCCCCACCCTGGTTCTGCTGGAGGTTTCTCCCTGTCAAAAGGGAGTTCTTCCTCCCCACTATCCCCAAGTGTTGCTGACGGATGTGGTAATTGTCTGATGGTTGGGGTTTTCTCTTCGGGGCCATTTCTATGTGTTAATTACTGTGTGGTCATGTTTCATATGCAGTGCCAGCAACAATACAATAAATAGAAAGCTGGGACTCTCTTGCCTTCTGGGTCCTCGCTCTTTGTTGTGGTCTTTTTTTTTTTTCTTAGAGAAACACATTTGTCCCTCAAGTTTTTCCACATCTTTGTACATTGCCTCACATCTATTCTGATTTTTGTGAATGTCCCTCGGAATTTGCTGACACATGTGAGTCCTTGTACTGGTACTGTAAATATCTTTTCTTATATATGAGGCATTGATTGCTGTTCTCTACTAATCAATTCAAAAACTGTGGTGAAGTAGTATCCAGAAATGCACGGGAAGAATCGACAGTTTCTGGTGTGGTGCACGTGAGGTTAAGGCGCAGAGTTTCAGAGGGTTTTGCAGTTACAGTGTACCTATGGTGTAAATTTACCACAGAGCTGTAAATCCCCGGTTAAGACTACTTTGCAATATGCAGAGGCTTGAGGTGACGTTTGTTGAGATTTGGTGACATTTAAATAAAATGAAATAAAATAAAATGGAATAATTGAACTGGGCTTTACAAATTTATACAAAAACGTAGTTACATTATATGTACATCAATGGCACTTATCTTTTAGTTTCAAATATCATGCAGTACACAGCTATCGTGACACCTCTAACTTGACATATCTCTTCAGTATTATAGCTTTAATCAGACTAGCATGCTGTAACCCGGAGCCAGCAGCTTCTCATGGTTAAATAAACAAAAGCTAGATGGACACATTGCTAATTAGCATATGATTTTAATGCATTTACCTAAGGCTATTATTCAGCCTATATTTGCTGAAAGGCTGTTTACACCAATACAAAACAGACCCTGTGTTAAACTGTGTATATAACTACAAAGTAGTGCCCCTGAAGGCTGCAGCTATCAAGCCTTCTCCTCATTTCTCCGCCATGGCCATAAAACACTTGTTCTGGTTGGTGTTTGAGTAGACTCATGCAGGGAGTGGCTAAACCTGTATGTCACCTCTTTGTGACAAAAGAAGAGACTAATGGAGGTGGCAGCAAATTGCTAACAAGACCATGGATGTTTTCTTAGCTGTGATTTTGAAATTTGTAACTGCTCTTATTAACTTCCAGGATCATATCATTTTTTTTGCGTGTGAAGCGTGTTTAAAAACACATAAAATGCTTAATAATTATGATCAGAGAGCCCAAAGTGCTGATTGCAAAGTGTTGCCAATTAACCTGCAATCGCTTTATAAAATGTCAGTGACTTCCTCGGTACCTGCTGGTGTTTCTTTGGGTCACGTTTTTAATTAAATTGAGATAAGGGCAACCGGCAGATGTCGATGCAGTGTTGAGTGGTGCAGCGTGAGACTTCAGAGCAACCTTTATAGCTCACAAAAACACAAGATATTTATATGCATCTCACCACCCCCTCTTATTTGTAACACATACTGCTTGCATCCAACAAGCTACACTTTATTGTGTTATTGGTGCTCACAAACACCTTGAGGTGAATTCAGCATCCTGCCAGCATGAAGAGTAGGACTCGGACTATCATGGCAGCTATTTCAAATGCCCACTCTTGAATAATCTGAAAGACCACGTCTCTGCCAGAAGAATTAGTTCAGCTGGCTTCTTCAGCTCTGTCATGATACTGTGGTGTAGATCAAAGCTCTTGGCAAATAGCATTTCCTCTATTATCAGCTGAAAAGTCCCGTATTTGGAAGAATGTGTCTCTTGTCGGCTCGTGTATGACAGTTTAAAGACTTTCTGAGCACAGTATCAGTGCCTGTAAGCTAACATCACGGTGTTGGAGGCAAAAATTAATGTGGCCATCTCTGACAAATTGTCTGCATTATTTGATAGAGCAAAAAAAAAACCCCTGAAATTTCACAGTGTTCCAATAGAAAAACCTTTGGACAAAATGTTCCTGTTGTTTTGTTTTTTTTTTGATCAAAGATATTGTGGTCTATCTTAGGGAACATTGATTTTTCTTTTAATATTCAGCCATTAGCGAGTCTGCTCGTATTGAGCCGAGTTGTTTGAAGGGAGAGAGGGAAATACTCGGCGTCATCACAGCTGATTATTATGTCTGAGGCACAGAGCAGAGGA